CATATTGATGATCTGTTCTATTGAAAAATGTATCTTTATGTTTGTCTACATATATACACAGTTCATACAGATACAAGCCTGTCACAGTTAAGATATTTAGTCACTTAAAAGCCTCTCTACATGACTGCCTCCAATTTAGTCCTGCAACAATTCTCACAGCAAATTTTTGCAGATCAAAAACACGTGACCAAGAGGTACAAGTACTCCAATTAAGAATACCATATCGCAGATGACAGTTGATGTTTGCATAATAAACGATTAATAGTATGTTTTCGTGACAATGATTTGATAAGAACATTAACACATAACAATTTTTTCTTAACTTTTTACAAAGTATATCGACGTGTGGTTCCCAGCACAATTTTTAGTGGATTGTTAGTCCAAGCAACTTAGTCGTCTCACTAGCATACACTTTCATGTCATTGTCCTTAAAAATTTGAAACTGTTCCATAGAAGAAAGTTCAAAGATGTGTTGTTCATGCAAAGAAGTAGCATTCAGACACAAACTGGAAGAAAAAGCCCTCTCAAAACAACTACTTTCATACAAACATGGAATTACATGAAGGGAGATTCACACATTTTTGGAGAAGAAAGCCAAAATCTTTCCAATATAAACAACTGTTTTTCAATCGATTTCTTTTTGAGAGCTATGATTTGTCTGCAGCATTTCCTATACCTTATAAAATACCGTAAAACATACTTTTTCCAATTGAAAACCAGCTGTTTCATTAGTTTTTTTTTGGAGAAATATAAGTACCCAAATATTTGATTTTTGTGAATCCAGTTCACATATCACATTTTTCCCTGTATTTTGATAAAATTCCCTTGAGTCTACCTACCTGCTTACTCTCTAGTTATATTTCTTCTTTCTTTAATTTTCCTGCTGCGTAAAGAAATGGATGTGTCAAGCGAAAGCGAATCAGAATCTGAAAGCAGCTCAGAAACCGAGTCAGACAGCTCGGATGACGGTAAATTAAATGTAAAGTTAATACACTAATGTTCTAACTGCATACATGTTAATCGATGTTCTTTCACATTAGTGGGTCATATATCTCACGTGTTATAAGAGAAGTTCGAACTAACAGTTAATTCATAACTGATAATCTGTTAGAAACATAAATTATAATCGCAATTGTATATTTGATGCACATTTTAACAATGTCCGAGGTCTGTTCAAAAAATGAGGTGAATTTTCATTTTTCCCAAAAAAATTTTTTGAACAGGCCTTGTAGTTCAAGTATGTTTTTTCGGTTAAGACTGTCGAAGATTGTACAGCCAAATGTATCTCAAATATTTTACATATTCATGAAAAATCTTGAAACATCAGTTTTATAC